GCTCTAGTCCTTCAGAGTAAACAGCAAATGTTTTGCAGTTCAAGGCACATCAATACCCATGTGTTTTAGTGTTTAACAAAGGTGCCCTCCTTTTGTCAGGCTCTTGTGTGTTTCACAACAGAGCCCAACAAAGGTTTGTAAGAATATTGAAAGCAGAGTTTATGAAGAGCAGTCTGACTGGGGTCCCTGTGAGCTTTGAGTGGTTTATAGCGGCATGGAGGGCAATGAAATGGCACCATGAGTGGATCTGTATGCAAACTGACGTGGATCAAAGTCACAAGGAATGTGTGTTTCGTCTTCTGCCCTGAAGGCAGAGTTGCTGGCTGAACTTCACATATCATCCATGTTTCTAGTTTGGATAAAACATAGATGTGTTTATCAGCTGTGACGTTGTCCATACATAACTTGATGTGTGATAGTTCAGTGTCTGTGTGGTCCTGCAGGTCCTGGATTCACTGTGGCACTGAAGCAGTCCTGCAAATGAGTGACTGATCTTTCTGTGCAGAGTCTGTGCAGGCTTCACCGCTCTTGAGTTTGATCTGATTAGTTTGTTTTTTTAAAAGTGTTTATTGAAGTTATGCATAAAATAAAATGTACAGTATTTGATGGCTTCCTTTGTTCTAAGACTTATATGTACAGTAGTCTGGACGCCATCACTTCAAGTACTTTTCCTTCACGCAGGTATGAAAAAAAGAGAAAGAGAAGGAAAAAACAAAACAAACACATGTACAGGCAGATACAGTTTGTAACTATATCCATCCAGAGAGGGCAACTGAAAAGCCAACACACTCAAATACATATGAAGTCCATGAAACCAGCTTGCATGCTTGTGTGTACTACAGGAGAGGTAATAACACGTGATCAATGCTGAACCTGTGAGAACTGCAGTATGATTATTTCTACGTTTTATTACAAACAAACTCTTTGCCCCACATTCAGCCTTCAGTTTGTTTCCACAGTTTTTAATGGATTTTGCTGTTTCCTGTGTTCTTAGGATGTTTCCTTGGTTTTATACAGCTGTGTTATAAGCCCTTTGTCAAGGATGGGCAAAGGGCTTACAACACAGCTGTATACTCTCTATTCCCAATATTGTGCATTACTCTGAGAAGAACTGGCAGCTTTTCCAACTCTTGTTAATCAGTAAAAAAACAAAAATGCATTACTATGACTGTTATTTGTTCTGTTTAAAGTGCACGAACTTGACTGATTCATCATTTACACTCATCCTCCTACAGCTTGCACAGAGACACTGAGGACTGGATGTTAAACATCAGGTTAAAGCCCAGCCTGGAGTCACAGCCAAAGCCTGCATACAAAGGCTCGGTGAAGGTGGTGTTGAAGGTGTGAAGGTGGATCAGACTGTCACAGGAGACTCTGTAGAAGGACACGATGCCGGCAGGATAGTCTACATACACTGCTATTCTCTTAGAGAAAGAGGATGAGGATGAGGAAGGGAAGTACATCTCTTTCCCTTGGTTGTTGTGGCAGACAGCGTAGCGGTCAAGAAAGCAGCTCAGACTCCAAGACTGATCATTTCCTCCAAACCTGCTTCGAGGGCTGTTGCCTTTTCTTTTGATTCCTCTGTAGCTCACACATATGTCCACTAGTCCTCTCCACTCCACCTCCCAGTAACAGCGACCGCTCAGTTCATTTTCACACAGAAGCTGGGGCCAACTGTCGAACCTGTCTGGATGATTCGGATATAACTGAAAGTCTGAGGCTGTCACCGTCATGTTGTTGTGGGACAATCTGAGGGCTCGGCTTGCTGTGTTTGGGTCTATCTGCAGCTCGCAGGCATCTGATGGAGACAAAGAACACAGCAAATCACATTAACTGGTTTCATTTCTGTTAACAGCATGCAGGCAAATATTCCAAGATCTTTAAAAAGCTTTAATGGAGCTGCTGGAGATGGTGGCTTCAGAAATGTGCATCAAAAACCTGGTGTGCCAGGAACAAAGTACCGTTGAATCCAAACATCATTGAGTGTTATTTGGGAGTTCTCAAAGACACCCACAAGTGCAGATTCACATGAATGGATCCTTTTCCTGTAACAGGTG